ACTGTTTATCTCAGTTTCCAGTCTAGACGATACCACTTCTTATAGTTATCATGAATTGTGGCACTTTGTAGTTCTCAATTTGAATATTGTTTTCTTCCTTACACAAAGTGTATTTTAGGAGTGTTTTAACACATTTGTAATGCTTTCAATACAGCACCAGAGTTTGCAGTCAACATGTCGCTTGGTTTGTCAATGAAAAGTGATCCGACAGCACAAAACACTGTGGTGAGTTACTTAACTGCAGACATTACCAGTGATTGTATCTCTCTATATATATCGCTATATCTGTATATCTCTCTGCCGCTCTCTCTCTCTTCTTTAAACACACTAAAAGTCAGCAGATTTTAAAGATTTGTGTCGGAATTTCTTGTTTGATTTTATATAGAATTAATAATTGTTTAAGTGACAAAAAATACTCAACCTGCTGAATTATGGCATCTTGGCTTTGTCTCCTCTCAGGTGTGTGGTCCAACCATTCCGAAGGACTGCAGAAGTATCACCATGTACAACGGTGTGTGCTTTCAGTTGGAAAGTTTCAAAAGGATCAGACCACCCATACCTTCTTCTATTCAAGGTAACAGTAAATGGTCTTTGCCTCTCTGTCTCATTCTCTCTCTCTCTTACACACACACACACACACACACACCATGTATATCATTACTCCTGGTGTGTGGTATTCACTGACCCTTTACTAAGGTACAAAATCCTTTTGCTTGCATGATATCAGTTTGAAAAGATATAAAATTAACCCTTAAAAATTAACATAATTCTGAATCCATCTCTTTGACAGAGTGTAGAACACAAGCAGACATTGCCTTTCTGTTGGATGGTTCAGGCAGTGTAGATAATACTGCTTTTCAAACGATGAAGGGATTTGTGAAAGATCTAATCGCATCATTTCTCTCAAGTGACACACAGGTGAGCAGCTGCTGTCTCTCTGTCAGCAAAATCATAGCATAGCATTTCAGTTTTCTGTTTCCCAGTTCTCTACTTCACCACAGGTTCACTTTTACTTTAAGAAATTTTCCTCATCTGGATCAGTGGAGACTGACATCAATGACATCAGTCAACAGGAGGGAGCTACTTACACAGCCAGGGCCATCAGACATGTTGTGTAAATAATGCAGTTATAATAGTGAAGAAGTGCAGATACATTATTGTCCAGTTGATTTTTTTCCATAAATCTGATCACATTAAGTACTGTGTGGACTGTATGACTGAGGGAAGCCTTTTAAAAGACACACTGTACACAAACTTGTGCTTCAGAGTGTCATCTTCTACTGAGAAGATGTTATGGCCCCAACTAAGGCTAAATTCAAATATTTGCTGAGTTTAATTTGAAAAAACAAACAAACAAACAAACAAACTTGTATAACGTTGTTTTGTGCAAAAGTTTAAAAAATTGCCAAAGAGAATGACATGCAGAAATAATAATAATGTGGTTTACCTGATTGTGTATAATTTACAAGATCAACTGTAAAACAATGTTATCAATTTTTTATTTTTTTTTAATTTGACAGGAACAATGTTTTCACACCACAAGGAGGTTCCAGACCAAATGTGAAGAAGGTCTTGATAGTAATTACGAATGGACAATCTCATGATCGGACTGATCTGGGAGGTGCAGCACAGCTAGCAGAGAGTAAAAACATTGTTCGATTTGCTATTGGGGTAAGTACTTCCATTATTTAAGCCTGCAGAATGTTGCATTTTATACTAATAATGAGTTTTGTTCAGTTGTCACACTACAGTCAAATGAAGCTGCACTATAGGGAGAAAATTCCAGGCTAGTTGTTCGTTTCTCTATAGTGATAGATCAGCTGGAGGATTAGGACTGCCTAATCTAATTGGTTATTATTGGGCATCCAGCATGCATAAAATATTATTGTGGTGCACATCCCCTCAATCCAATTGATACCAGAGCGAAGCAGCCTCCTGCTCCTCGTTGTTACACGTTTTAACATGCAATGCCTTATAGTCACCCTTATTAAGCCTACCTTCCAACCCAGTTGTTGCTGGATTTTGGTCACGAATAAGAGGCCACTTTGGTTGGCTAACTGTAATAGATGCTCACAGACACTTTGCAATCTTACTCATATGTTTTGGGCATGTCCCAGGCTGTCTGAACTTTGGCATCAATTCTTCAAAATAATTTCAGATATATTAGGTATAAATCTAACTCCGACTCCATGTTGCTACTTTTGGCAAACCATTAAATAACCTTGGTACCACAGCCATCCAAAATAACCTTATCGCCTTTGCTTCTCTTATTGCCCAAAAAGAATTTTGTTGTCATGGAAATCATCTCAGCCACCATTAACCAAAGTCTGGTTACATGACATCCCAGGATATTGCTGTATGTACCTACAAATGCCTGTCTGGCATTTGTCTGGCATCTGATAAATAAAAATGAAAAATAAAAAATAGGAAGAAAACTCCTGAGCCAGCCACTCATTACAGCTCCGAAAGCTGCTTGGCCGGAGAAAACCAGGCGATGAAACTCCTGTTGCACAGTTTTTGTGCTCTAAATGTTTCGACTTTAGAATAATACCACTTATAGTCAATCATAGAACATACAGCAGCCATGAAATTTTACAAACTGACTTACTGCAGCAGTGATATCGTTTAGCAGTACCACACTTAAATTCAGTGAGCTCTTTAGAATGATGCATTCACAAATATTTGTAAATTCAGACTGCATGGCTAAGTGATTTTTTTTATTTTTTATGCCTTTAGTAATGTCACTGAAAACACCTGAATTCAAAGATTAAGAATTGTTATTATATACTGGCCACATATTTGTATATACACCATAAAATGTCTCTATAGTGCATTTATTTAGATCAGTTTATTTGTTTAGATAAAAGCTAATCTCACTGACCATGTAACCTTGAAAATAAAGCATGGTAAATAAATGAAAAAGCTGAATTATTAATGGAAACATGAGATATGTGTGTAATACAAATACAGCTAGTAGAGGAAAAAAATATGTGTAAAAACGATTTTATAGCATGAGATGAATGTTATCATGGATTTAGGTTCTATTCAGTGTTAGAGAGTAAAACCTGTTTGTAAATCAAGTGAAGTTTAACGAATGTATTTTAATAAAGTGAGCAAATAATTTTGCATAGTATGAGGACTCAAACATATTTGTCAACAAGGTGGGGAACGCATTTAATAACCCTGATGCCAAAAGAGAACTGCGCACCATTGCATCATCTCCCTCAAACAAACACGTCTTTCAAGTGGAGAACTTCGACGCACTTGAAGTAATAAGACAGAATCTGCAGGACAAAATTTTCTCAATCGAAGGTACAAACATAAATTTATTGTTACAACTTTGTTAAAATTCCTGTAAATGTTTCAAAAATTAAAATGATTGCACTGTAATAAATGCTACTTTCAGCCGCTCACTTATTCACAAGGGATTTTTTTCACATTCATTATGAGGATCTGTGTCCTTCTGGAATTGAAGCAGTTAACTTTCATTTGTTGTGTAAAATGCTACAATAAGAAGCAACTAAAATTAGTACATTGTATTAACTTTATTGTACTGTAT